TGCCAATAGGAAAAACTTTTTTAGACCTGATAATATCCGTGATAGGTTTACCTATATTATAGGTAAACCTATCACGGATTTGGGATCTACGACCAAAAATTTAGCGTTTAGCTGTGATATTTCAAGAGTTGAAAATTTATCTACAGTGTAATTAATTGGTATATTTTTTTACCCAAATAAGCATCGCATATCAGTGGCGGCTCGTGGGTGTACAGGCGGGTGAGGCTACATAAGGTTAATTTTGTCTAAATACGAATAAATTTCCACGTCACCCGGGAGGTATTATTCTGCGACGCGTTGACCTTTTTTAAAATGGAGCCGATAGCACTACTAAACCAAAAAATAAACTCTAAAAAACAAAACAAACAAAATATCACATCAAAGACTAGTTTTAATCTAAAACTTAAAAATATAGTCTTAAAAAAGTTAAAAATAAATAAATTAATCAAAAAATAAAAATAAAACTAAAAAGTCGACCCCTACCTAAGTATTAAAAAATATAAAATACTATACGTCTATCTTTTAAGATTGAAAATTTATCTATTATTTGGTCGTAAAATTGTGGGTCTGCAGTGAGATTTAAAAGTAATTCTAAATTTTCAAACCGCGTCTCTAATTGAAGAATTATGCAATCTATTATTTCAAAATATAAAATTTGCTTAATAAAAACTGCTAAATCTACCTTAGTGTGTTCCCTACAATAATTAAATAAGAAATTTTACTAATCGCGACAAAAACTATAAAAGATCAGCCAAAAGTTTTAAATAATTTAATCTGAATCAAAACAATAACGTGCTCTACAAACGCTAAGAGAAGACTGGCAACCTTCTTTGTCTCCGCTGGCATCCCACCATAAACGGACCACCAATCAGAACAAACCAAGCTAACTAAATTTCGCCTCATCTACGGTGTTTATTCGCGAACTTACGGCGATATTTTTGTTGGTGAGTCATTTTCGCTTTCAAGAGGTAAATGGGAGCTTCCGAGGCTGTGAAAATTTTGCCTCTGTCCAAGCGACTCTCAACGATGCACGTTAACTTGACGCGCTTTGCGCCTGGATTTTTATTTACGCTTAATATGATTGATTGGTTTTTTACTTTTTATTGGGTAGAACTGTTTTAAAAATACACTTGTAATAGGCAAAAATATAAATACAAAAAGTCGTTCGTTCCTTCATTTTAAGGGTGAGGCGCGGCCTCAGAGGCCTACCCTGACGAGCCGCCACTGTCGCATATACCGCCGCAGAGTGGGCTAGAGAGCCAATTTAACATGCAGAAATTATTTGTTGAAGTAATTCTTAGTTAATGTTTATTTTTTGGTATAATTGATGAAATTTTAATAAAAATTACTTTTTACTACCAATAGATAGGTAAACAAATCCACAATATAATACTAATAATACAGCAAAAGTATCTTTGTGTAATGGCAAAATTAAGACAGTTTTAATGAGTAAATTACAAAAATATAACTGACCATTTATAAAATAAAACTTATGACAGTATTTAGTACAATATTTCTTCTTGGCTTCCAGCGGTTTTCTATATTTAAAAAAATTTTGAATCAAGTTTTTTCCGAGATACATTTATTTTTGTAAATGCTTCATAAAAAAATACTTGTGGCGCGTATTAGCACTTGATTTTAGATTTACTTGAAAGACAGAACAGTAAGCTGTTAACAAAAACTTAAACGCAGAGTGTAAGAATGCGTGACATTTTTTAAAACATTAGTAATGTCCATACATCATCAAAAATATGCAGCGCTTTCTTTATTGACGTAGTGACAGTACAATAATTTTAAAAACTTACCATTATTTGTTCCAGCCATAACGTATGACAGAATTGAATACAATGATGGTAAAAAAATTAAGAATAAATTAGGAATAAACAATTTACCAACACAAAGCATGTAAAAAAATTCAACAGATTTAAAGGTGATAACGTTATTTCATTTGCTACAGATATAAAATAATTTAAAATTCGCTAAATTTTGTCGAAATAAAACACATACACATTTTGAATTTCCGCGCGCTGCAAGCGCTCTCTGGCCTACCGCGGTGGTGGGAAAAGTTATTAATATTTACTAATACTTATCAGTAATTAATTTCAAATTATTCATCGTTATTAGTAGCTTTTTAATTTATGGTTTCCATCACCAACGTTTATAACAGTATATAATACAATATTTCTTCGGGATTCCAGCGTTTTTCTATAATTTATAAAATATATATTTTTGAATTAAGTTTTTTCTGAGATACATCTATTTTTGTAAATGCTTAGCCTACTAAGTAATCTAAAACTAACTTTATATTGAAATGCTTCAAACTAAACCACTTTTCACATAGCTCCGTATGAGTTAGGGATAAGGTATTAACTGAAAAAAATATAAAAAACATATTTGTTGCGCCTTCTAGCACTTGATTTTAGATTTATTTGAAGGCAGAACGGTAAGCTATTAAAAACACTTAATCGCAGAGTGTGACAGTGCGTGACATTTTTTAAAACCTTAGTAATGTCCATACATACATTAAAAATATGCAGCGGTTACTTTATTATAGTAGCGACAGTAAAATAATAATAAAAACTTACCATTATTCGTTTCAGACATAGCGTATGCATGACAATATTATACAATTATAGTCAAAAAGTAAGAATAAGTTACCTAGTAATAAACATTGTAAGAGACGCGTAATTTACCAACACGGAGCAAGTTATTTTATTTCTTAAACTTTTACTGGTTACTTAAAAAAAAATTCAACAGATTTGAAGGTGATTTAAAGTTGCTTTATTATCTACAGATATTAAAGAATTCAAATTCCCTAAATTTTGTCAAAATAAAACACTTACTTATTTTGAATTTCCGAGCGCTAGGAGCGCTCTCTAGCCTACTGTGCGCCGCCCTGAGGCCGCTATCCTCAAACTAAAATAAAGGGGTCTACAATAACAAAAACGTTTTAAATTAAAAACCGTTGCAACAGGGTGGTACTATTTTCATACACTAAAACTATAATGTACTACCATTACTAAATTTAAGATTATATATTGCAATATAAATAAAATTTTACTTACCTATCGTTACTTAATAATTTAGGATTTAAATAATAAAATAAAATACAAGTGTTGAAATGTTTTTACCTTTTAATTTTTTTATTGGGTTTTAACATTTTTGTCTTAATTGGGCCTAGGGAACAATAAAAATATACAGATCAAGCCCAGTATAACATACATATAGTTTGATTCAAAATAGATATTTTTCGTATTTGTATTTTTTATTTTATTTATTATCTAGTTTATATAACTGCAGGATTCTAGAGACCTCACTTTCTTATATGTCGTCTCTCAGTCATTACCCACGCTACAAAAGTACTTATAGGCATATAATATATACTTTATATTAATATTTTATTTAAAGAGGTCATTAAACAGTCTATCAATTGATTTTTAAAGAGCTTAACTGAGGTTTACAATCAGCTACATTTTAAGCCGAACTTTTTTTTGGAGTATTTGGGTAAAGATTTATTTATCCCTAATCTCAATCTGTATGTTGTCTCAGTTTAACTCTATTATTTATCTAAAATGTCTAAAAAATATACAAATCCGGTTTTTAGACCTACAGTAACTTACTCCTTAAAACGTTATATATACATATACTTCTGAAAATATTTATGGAAGTTATATAATTTTTATTTATGATAAACTAATACTTTTTGAAAACGGGTAACAATTTTCATAAAATTCACATAGTATATGCAGCCTGAAGGTCCCAATTAGTTTAAAATACCTTACCCCCAACAACGCGGGAGTTGTAACATAACATGTTAAAAATTCCCTAAAAAACAATTAACGCAACTAAAAAATTATTAAGAAAAAAAAGGATAATTTGAATATAGCAAGAAATACAATGGGCACTTTAAAATGTAAATAAATAAAATTACTTCTGGATAGTTTTCCATTAACTTTATCCAATTGGACGCAATCAAAATGTGGACGTCTGGTCTTGAATTCTCAGTGAGGATTATATTGTGATATGTAAAATAATTCAAATATATGCAGTCCAGTATTAAGTCTTGCTTTATGCAAATTAAACACAAGATTTAGTGGAGCAAACGTTATAATTTAACTTGAAATTTAATGGTGGGTAGTGCCTTAATAAAATTTGATAAAATATATATATATATATATATATATATATATATATATATATATATATATATATATATATATATATATATTAACTATAGTTTATAAGTCATATTTATATAACATCAGTGTCTAAAAACATATAAAGCGACACATTTAATAAACATAAAAAATTTTGTCAATTAGTTTATATCATTTTTGTACTTTTTATTTTTAATTTTCCGGCAAGGCCAAAATTCGTTTATTTTATAGTTAAGTATCATTACTTCTAGACTTAAATCTATAATAAATATGGTATTTTTTAATCTCTTAATGATTTCATGTCGTTTTAAATCTAGGACCATTTAGTTTAGCCGACACACTTTTTTGTGCAAAATTTTACAATTTACGCCATGTTCACCCTTACCATAGAGCATAAAATACAACCTTTAGAAAATCTAACAAAAATACTCAAATAATTATTTATTACTAATAAACCACATACATACATACCTACCTATAACAATAATGAGCGTAATAATTTTATGTAAGGATTGTTTTTAAATTGCGACCGTGACCTTTTCTATGTGCATAATTTATTTAAGTATTGTTTGCAAGATTTATGCGATGTAACGCGAATTTGTTTTTGTCTTGTCGTTTGGCGACAAATAGATTGCCCAGTCACTACATACCAAAATAATAACTGACGAAATGTAAAAAATAAAACATAAGAATTTAGGTTAAAAAGTTAAGTAAATCCATTTGAAATATTTCAAATGGGGCATTCCACATTACTCGGTAATTTTTTTCCCGCCTGTCACAACTAAAAATTATGAGTAAAAACCACAAGTTATTAAATTAATATTTTATAATATTATTTTTATTGTGCTTATAAGCTTATTACAAGTATAATAAACCATATTTTAAAATAAATTTTATAACGTGTAGTTTTTACTCACAATTTTCAATTGTGACGGGCGGGACAGAAGTCCCCGAGTATCGTGGAAATACACAAGACTTTTTTAAATATTTGTCGTTAATAAATTTTAAATATTAAACCAACGATTAAAAGTTTTTAGAATTTCACGGTTTTTGTTTAAATAAAATTTTGAGAAAAGTCTACCTAATTTAATTTTGCTGCAATAGGTTGCTATGTTAAGCATATATTTTTACATAAATATGATTCATTTATTATTTTTGTATACAAGTTTTATAATAAAACTTCTAAAAAAGTTTATGTTTTATTTTATAATAAAGAGCCTTACTTCCTTGCTGTAGCAGACTATTTAAGTGAAAGTATAAAAAATGCAATGAAATAATCATAAGTGTAATATAAATTACATTTAAGTAATTTTTTTGAGGCAATGAATGACTGGGCTTTAATATTTGAGCTAAGCGGACTCTTCAGGCTGATCCCAGTATTAATTTATTTTTATTAATAAAATATGTTGCTCCAATCGCTAAGATCTCATGTGCACAACCCAATAATATTATGTTAAAAATGGAACCAACATCCTAAAAAAATCCCAATTAAATAATTTTGTTTTTTGATTCGATTTTTCAAGGATGCATTGGTAGTTATTCAAACAATTGGTAAGGTCCCATTTCTAAATGTGTTCACAGCCACACACCGATGATGCGTCATTTAATTTTACGAGATACTTTCAGCCTCATACAGTATACAAAAACAACGATTAACACTTTTTCTTATATTCTCAAAAGGAATGTTTTTTTTAATCACCAGCTGGTGAATTAGTAAAGACGCTGATGATTGAATATAGTTACATAGCCAAAATTAATTTTTGTAGTATTTTGGTTATGGTAGTACATTCAAAATCCCATTTTTTTGGTTTGCCCATAAAACCGTCAGTCAGCAACTGTTTTTTGTTTGCACGATAGAGGAAGTGTATCAAGTCACTTAAAAAAAAATACAGTTCTCAAATTGGGCAGCGATCAGATCTAGAATCAGATCTGGGACTACCACCACTCACGAACTGCACTGCTGCATCCACGGATTGTTGCAGGGGCAGAAGCATCCGCCCGTGGTCTGGATGATGGGCGCATAATAAATACCGTTGGCGTAGACAATAGGTGGGGGCTGTTGGGTCATCATACGCTGTTGGTCCTGCTGGTACAGGACCTGCCACGCCAAGCTCTTAATCAGTTGCAGCGTCTGGCGCCTCTCATGGCCCATCAAGCAAACCGTGGACTCTTCAACCACGTCGTGTAAGAGCATCAGGTACTGATGTTTGAGAGTTTCCTCGTCCGAGCCCACGAAGTGGTTCCATAGGTAGTTCTCCAGCTTGCCCCTTTGCTGCTGGATGTCCGGAAAATCTATAAAGAAGCGTGAGCACATGTATCTGCAACAAAAACGAAGCATTTAAATTTGTATACCAACCCGTCGATGAAGACAAATTTGTCTCTGTTCTTCATCTTAATTGTAAGTAAATCGGATGGTATTTTGTTTTTTAGTGGCATATTTTTTTGATCAGTACTTATTTAAAAACACAATAAAAGCAACAAAATTGGATATCGACTCTAAAGGAATTTCAAAATAAATAGTGATTTTTGCTTCAAAAATTAAAAGATAACAAATGAAGATAGCAAAAAATTTTTTGTATTAAATGTACCTACACCTAGTAAAGGGTCATCGATTTTATAATTTCTATATAAAGAAATTATTTAAATGAAAAGTTCAGTAAAAATATTGTCGTCATTCAAAAAATAGACCATTATATTTCCAAATAAAAGCCAATGCATAATCGAACAAAACTTAAGTAAATTTTTGATAAAATCAAATATTTAGGAATCTACAATCCCAATGTTAATTAAGAAATTTAAATACATATAAATTTAAAGGGTAGGCTGCTATCATAGGCGAAATTCAATTATTTTCAAATGTCAAATAAACTTGTATACAATACACTTTATAAGCGGGACAAATTTTTTATTTTTACAAAAAAAAAATTCTACGATTAAGGTAAGTTATATATATATACAGGGTGTTCCGAAATTAATGCACCATACTTTAACAGCAGATTCCACGTGCAAAAATAAGTCCATTTCTATGGTTGTGATTTAATTGTGAATTTTTATGCCATGTAAAATAATTTTCAAATCGATTTTAAGCGAAAACGGTGTATGTTAACGAAGTTCAACAAGATTACCTTTTTTATGTGCAAAACTCCAAAATTTCATAATCTGACATCAAATTCTGGTACAAGATACGTACAAAAAAGTTAAGGTGGTTTTAACCCCACTTCCTATCAATCTGACCCAAACCTCGTGAAATTTTTTAAATTGTTATTGTTACGTCTTATTGGTCATAAAAAGTTTAATTAATTCCCTAAATTTCACTTTTCTATCTTTAACGGTTTTGGAGATATTAAATAAAAACCGTCTTCAGGGGCTTTCCTTTTGGGGGCTGTAGCTCCCTTAAGAGGCAATTCTTGACCTATGTTTATAGGGACTTTTTTTCTTATTTTTGCACGTAGAATCTGCTGTTAAAGTATGGTGCACTAATTTCAGGACACCCTGTATATTAGGGTGTCCCAAAAAAAAAGAATATTTTTTTTCTTCTCGTCTCTTGTGAAAATATGTTGGTTTGCCATGTTTTAAGAGCCCTGTCAAAAGATCAGCACCATTAAAAAATTTTTAGGGGTCGCTCAAGATTTTTAAATATTACCAAAATCGTCAAAAATTGGATTTTTTTTTATTTTATTTTTTTTTCTCTTTCCGATATTATTTTTTAATTTAAAAATAATAATGATTCTGAAAATTTCAAATCGATATTTTAATTTCTAAAGGTCGCTCAAGATTTTTTTAACTTTCAAAGTAGAGTATTTTGAATGTTTTCGAGCGACCTCTGAATATAAATATCAACGAACTTTTAGCGACCTTTAGAAATCAAAATATTGATTTTAAATTTACAGAATTTTTATTATTTTCAACCTAAAAAATAATATCGAGACGAGAAAAAGAATTAAAATAAAACAAAAATTCAATTTTTGACCATTTTGAAATTTTTTAAAAATCTTGAGCGACCCCTACAAAATTTTTAATCGAGCTGATATTTTGAAAGGGCTCTCACAGCATGATAAACCAACAGATTTTTACAAGAGACAAGAAAAAAAAATATATTCTTTTTTTTTTGGGACACCCTAATATATATATATATCAGGAAAATCAGGAAGGCCTAGAAAAACTACGATTTGGTTAGATCTGAGAATTAAAATAATTTCTCAGAGATCCATGGATGTCAGGAACAAGAATATTTGCTGAAATTAGTTAATTAAGTTATTACAAAGGACAGTTTAACGAAGATTAGCGAAACTCTATAGCAGACGTCCAGCAAACTTACCAAATGAACAGTCTAATTAATAGAGATGCACCGAATATTCGGGAACTATACCGAATATATTCGGTATTCGGCATGTTTTTTACTATTCGGCCGTATACCAATAGTTGGGGCTGCTATTCGGCAAAATACCGAATAGTTAAATTTATTTTATTTCTTAAATTTTTTTTATATTTCATGATAAAAATAAAAAAACCAAAAAAGACCGTTTAAAATAAATTTGACCAAATAAAACAAATTTGTGTATTATTAATATTTATATATTAAAAATATACTGAATATAACACAAAATACATTTTTTTTAATGCTTATATCAAATATTGTATTCAAAATTTAATATTGGTAAATTGTGGTGCAGAAATACCAGTTTTTCTGCTTAAGAAGGCAATAGTCTGTTTCTTTTGTCCTCGTATACATTTCCAGCTTCTGAGAAAAGTCTTTCACTATAAACACTTCTCGCAGCAGCAGAGAGATAAGTTGCAGCAAATTGTGTTAATATTGGGTACTGACTTCGATGGGATGCCCACCAAATATAAGGATTGTCGTATCTCGGAATGCGTTAAGTTTTCAAATAAGCGTCAAGTTCTGTCGCTATGTGATTTTTTTTAGGTGAGCAATATTAGCATTAGCTGTGATCATTTCCACCTCATCATAACAGTCCCAAAAACTTGCGTGAATGCCAGTAGAAGTGCTAGATTGGTTTTCGTTTTTTTTATTTTCTTTATTCGCAGATATCATAGCGTCAACCTCAGAGTCACTGTCGCTACTTGATTCTTCACATTTTTTTAAAGCCTCTAATAAAATTAAATGTCGAGCCTTTTCAGCTATATTTTGGTCCACGAAGAAACTCGTCTTAAACCTAGGGTCGAGTAGACTAGACAGCAAATAAAACTTTTCTGTTTTGAGCTTGGTAAAACGGTTTTCCAGCTCCGCTTTAATAGCAATGCGCAAGATCCCCACCACAATCACGCTCTACCGAATAGTTGCCGAATATTCGGTATTCGGCACATTAGATTCACCGAATATTAGGTATTCGGCAAAACCGGCATTCGGTGCAACTCTACTAATTAATACAATTGGACAACTGGACGAATGTACCGATTACCAATACCCAAAATTTAATTTTATCGCTAAATGCCTATTAATTATTTTTTTAATACACAGGGGAAAACTGATTTTTTAAATTTAGTAGATAATGTTTCACTGTTTTTAGCAATTTAATAAGATTATTATTAACAAAAAAAGTGATATTTTTATAGAAAAATTATTGCAGACTCGTATAAAAAATCGAACAAAATTGATTTTTTTTCATTACATCACCATCTATTACAAATATGAAAAAATCTACCTATTTTTAGTCGAATGTTCCGAATCTGCAATAAAAAATAGGGTGTTCCATTGGAAATTTTAAAGTTACCCCTTGTTCCCCCTTTAAGGAGGAGAGTATGAGGACCAATTACTGATTGATTTCCCCCCTCGAATCATTTAATTTTTATTTTAAACATTTTTCGTAAAATGCATACTAACTGAGATATTTCAAAGTTTCAAGTTAAATGACTCTCTTGTATAAAGTAAATTGGGGACAGCTGAGTATTTTAGAACGGAACGTTTTTGTGTTTAGTAATGATTCCCCAACTGTTTGTTATGGTATAAAGTTAGTATAATATTACAAAACTTGTTCTGGTTTTACAATAAAAAGTAATCAGTGCTAGTTTTATAGCAATAACTACTAAATTTAAAAAATCATTTTGTTTGTGTATTTTTATGATATTGTTTATTACTTCGATATCCCTCCACGCTAGAGGGGGCATAGGGACCAATACTTGTTATTGTTTTGTAAAATAAAAAAATATTTTGGTAAAATTTTACTTCATTTTAATATTATATATTTAAAAACTTTAATGAAAAACAATGTTGATGGAAATGTTTTGTTATATTTTACAAATGATACCATATATAGTATATATATAGTATACTAAGAAAAAATACATTTGCTGGGATATTAAAAGGGACTACGAAGATACCTACTTACAATGTATCTTTAAATAGCTTTACTTTTGTCCGATGGTGTATTTACAAAATATTGAAACATCGGAAAAAATTTTATTTGTATAAAAATCTAACATAGTACCAGGAACAGCGCTGTCATTGAATGCATTAAAATTGAAGCAATCTAAATTGTATTTGCTCAATTAATTACTATTAAACCAAAATAGGGAAACATTTTGCCTAAATGTCAAAGAATTTATTGCGTTAAATGTATACATAGTATACATACTATAGTAACGTTATTAAATAAATCAAATTAGTATGTAATGCAATAACATTCTAACATTCTAACAAATAAATATCAATATAAATATCAATAGATTCAGGAGCGATAACTTTTGTTGTTAATTTAAAAAACAATAAACGATTATAAACCAAGTGCTAACTACCTATTATAATTATAGGAACTGTTATTCAGGAATACGGATAACAAGATCCCATTGGTTTAATGGCTCACCCATTAATGCTATGCTAGCGTTTTTTCTGTGTAATAAAACAAGTGGAGTTCAAACGATGAAAGTTTAATACCGCAACGTCATCAGCCATCAGTTGTCGAGCTAAGTTTGTCCAAAATGTAAATTTGCACTTTTTTCAAAGAAATGCTTATCTTTATACCATTTAAAATAATAATTAATTAAAATTTCCTTTTATAAGATTACCATTTTTGTAATTGGGTTTCGTTTAAAATATATAAAACTTTTAAATCCGCAACTGAGAAAACATAAATTTTCCAATAAGAAGAAAATTTGGTCCTGTTAAATGCCTGAATCTAAATTTAAGTATGTTTTAATTTAAGTAACGTTAAAGCTTAGATGATCAAAAAAACATTTTATTATTGCCCGATTCTTCTCGGAGATGTAAAAATTGATTAGGCTACATCTGTACGTTTACTTTTAAAACAACATAATTGATAAGACATTTTTAACTGATAATTTTACCAAAATATAATAATGT